AATTAAATAACACTGAAAAAAACGCAACATTTGAAATTAAATAACATAAAAAAAAACACAACATTTGAAAAAAACCCCGCAACATTTGAAATTAAATAACACTGAAAAAAAAAAAACGCAACATTTGAAAAAAACGCAACATTTGAAAAAAACGCAACATTTGAAAAAAAAACGCAACATTTGAAAAAAACCTGCAACATTTGAAATTAAATAACATAAAAAAACCCCGCAAAAACTTTTGGGACAAAATGCAATTACATTAAACAAAACCAGAAGAGGTGGAAAAGGTGGGAGGTTCAAACACCTCGTCGTCCAATCAGCGACGTCTCATGTTCCCACTGGTCCCACCTCTTCCGGTTTCGCTTAATGTAATCGTGTTTTATCAAATGTTGTGTTTTTTCAAATGTTGTGTGTTTTATTTTATTTGTAGTTGTGGTTTAAACTTCAGGGCCACTGTAAGTTTCACATTACACGGTAAATAATATCTATAAATCTGTAGTAATTTGTTTTTGCAAACACGCCTAACAGTAACATCATCGTTGAGTAGAAACTATTGACAAGTGTGTAAAGGTTTATAAAATGCCATTTGCATGAACTATTAGGAAATAAGATTGGATATGTTTTTAAATGGCAGCAATCAACTTTGGACTTGGCTCCATGAAAGGATAATTAAACGTATCAGATTATTTGTTCATAACCTTCTCTCAGAACTTCACGTCAAAATATCTGGATGGTCTCTTTACCGCTCTTCTTTGTGTGTGGGTGTTTCCTCTGTGGCCTTCAGGCAATCAGACGGTCAGGTTGCAGAAAGGATAACACACGCCCAGTAACTCAGCTGAGGCGGTGCTGGTTCTGGGCACAAGAGCTGTATCCTAATATCTGTTCTGTACCGTGTTAACAGTCGCTAAAACGAATATCTCGTGCAGTTTGCCGTCGTCTCGCATAACGGCGAGGCCGCGAATATCCTGAGGCCAACTTGTTACGTCTCATCACTCTCCAGTAGAAGCTGTCATTTATCGGATGCTAAACGGGAACAGGATTTCCAGTTTCCCCTCTGATCTTTAAGGTTAAGTGTCAGACGGACCAGGAGTCCACCTCCTTTCCAGCTGCCGTAGCTCTCCTGGAAGACGATTTAATTAGAGCCCAGCTCTGCTCGCTGCTTTTCAGGCAGGACTACTTGTGTGAAAGTAGGTCATCACTGAGAGATTTTTTATTTCTCCCTTATATTATTTTTTAAATGCAAAATTTCTTCCAACTTTAGCTGCTACACTTGGAAACTGGAGTAAACTTCCTTCGCCTGACGTGCTCTGATGTACAAATCTGTTAATGTGGCAGATTTTGTGCATGCAGGGGGCAACATATGCACATGCAAGCACATAAATCCAACATCCGAGTGCATGTGCTGACTGTTTATCTTGTCTGATAGATTCCCACATCCTTCACTGTGTTGATTTAGAACCTCCTCAAAGAAACTGACGCACACCTACAGTCGTAAAAAGTTCAGCTATCTTTTTGTTGTCTGACGTCCAAACACTGCGTCGCTTCATGAACTCCTGCCTTTTTTTAATTTAAAACTCCAAACGATGAGCTGCGTTTTAAGCTTCCCGTTGCACACATTTCTTTTCTGCTCGATTAGAAACCCAGTCCACGCCTGTAAGTTTCATTCTGCTCAGCAGTATCTCTCCCTCTGTTGAAAATAAATAACATTTTGCTGATTTCGTGCACTTTTGCCTGACAGAAGACCCAGAGACGTACAGCATGTAGTTAAATTAAGCAATGCTTGGATTATGAGACGGCGTAAAAAAAAAAAAGATAAAAACTCTCCAAAAGCGTTTTTAGTGTTCTGTTGGGAGGGTCGTTATGAAGTCAGACATGCTGACACAATTAATCTGCAGATGCGTCCTTTGGGGGAGCGTTGTGCTGTGATTAGAAACTCAGGTAAAGGTTGAAGAATAACTTGAGTCGAACTTTAATCATAATGTGAGCCTGTGAGAGTGGCTACCTGTGTCAATCAAAATGCCTTGTCTGAGAGAGTGTTGATTATTTTATTTTACGTAGAATTAAAATGGTACTGTCGGTGTTCCACCCCACCAAAAAAACAAAACGACAAATTTTCATGTTTCAGTTTGTGTTTGATTCTTTTTTTTTTACTTCTTATCAACATACTGTGCTTTTTTTTATTTTTTATTTTGTAATAACTGTACATATTGTAGATAACATTTTCCCATTCTGGCCAAAGTTGAAAGCCTTGAAAAGATGTGCACTGCTTCTTGAATAACGTGTCTAATATGTGGTGTCTGTGTGAGCTGGAGCACATTAAGGCCAGCGGGGAGACGAGCGTCCGTGGCTCAGACGTTCGTCTCCTTTGACCTCGACTTTATCGGGAATTTCTGTGTTCATCTGTGCCAATTAGCCTAAACTGACCCTGCGCAACATCTCAGTGTTTCATGTTGTAATGACACAAAAACGAGCTTCATCTGTTTCTTCCTCTCTTGGACTCTTGTTTAGAGCCGATTATGCAGTACTGTAACTGTAGGCACTGATGATCTGCACTTGTAGATTTGATGAAGGATGCTTCACACAAACTGAACTGATCCCGCGTTGCCAGCCTCGTTAATGAACACGTTATCCACATTTTAGAAGGCTGTGGTCATTTTCTGGATTATGTGGCGCCGGCTCAATCTGAGCCCGCTTCATAAAACGAGACTTTTGGCCACGACCTTGGATCAGCCTCGTCTAAATTTCTGGCACCTGGACTTCAGTGTACATGAGCGCCGCTTCATTTCCTGATGGCGTGTGTATGGCTGCGTCATATTTTTCCAGGTAAAGCGGAAGAGTTGAAGGTAACCTGTCTTAATGTTAAACGGCTGACCTCAGTTTGATCTCTGCAAGGTTAGCATTTACGTGCACTTTGGAAAACAAACACTGCTCCTCGGCTGTTTTCCTGAAATGAACGAAGCCATCTTTTTGTATTTAATTTCCACAAAAAAAAAAAAAAAAAAACAAGACTGAAGAGTAATTAAAAAAAGATTTCAAGCACTGACGTTTTCCTTGAATGATCTGTTGCAGTGAAGAGTAGATTCAGCATTATTACAGTTACGTGATATAATATGTTGGATTTGAATTATGGGGGAATGAAGACATGAAGACGATGTAGACTTTGGCAGAGCATCATTAAAAAACTAGATGCTCTGAAGAGTTTTATTTCCCTGGTTTCTGCTGGAAACAGCTCGTTTGGTATCGCTGCATATAAAACTGCCTTCTACACTAGTGGTACATTCTGATTTAATTAGAACATGTTCTGTAATGTGCAATAAGGAAAAACGGAAAACGATCACATCTGGTCCGAGTCTACCTCACCTAGTGGAGAGTATTGAGATGGTTAAAACAAGTGTGGGAACGTTGGATAGTACTGAAAACCACATTCTCAGGTGAAATCTTTGTGAAAATGTAAAAGTGCATCTACCTTTTTATAAAAAGCATAAATAACTGCTCCCCTCTGGCTTGGATGATCAGACTTTACTGTAAATTAGGTTAATTTATTCAGCGTGAGAACTAAGTAGTAGGTGGTTTGGAATGCAGCGTACGCGTTTACGTATAAATGTTGAACTCTGGTGCCGCAGTGAAGAAAACACGAGGAGCTCAAACTATACGAAGGGGACATTTACCGGTATTTGCCACTTGTTAATGGGGATATACGTTTAAGGCAATAACAGTGCCTTTATCTAAATATAATTTGTTTTATACTTGACCCCTCCTTAAAAATGTTTTGCTGAAAAATGAGAATGTACACAGTTGTGGGGGAGTTTACTCATTCAGA